TGCGTTGAAACATACCCGACGATAGATGGAGACTTGCAATAGATGGAAAATGCATGGAGGCCCGTGAAAATTAATTTACACTACAGTAAACTTTACACGTTTCTTTATGAATCAAGCGGCATGATGTCTAGCGTCGATATTTAAGAAATTTTTCGCAGCACTATCTTGCCATTTCCTAAACTGCACTGCTTTGAACGCGAAGAAAGGACATTTGCCGAACGCTGACATCAAACCAAAAGCACCAACTAATTTAAGCGCTACAAATGTAAGAAGTTGAATTTGTTGACAGAACTAGATAAGATGAAGGACAAATACGTGCTATTTCAGTTCAACGAAGGCAGAACTGATGTACTAAAGCCTGTAGATTGATCTACGTTGGTGAAACTCTCTACATTTCATAGGGTGCCTCGTAGAAGAAATGACTTTATTTAGTAACACTGTAACAGAATGTCGCCGAAATGCCCGATTATGGTCTTATTGAAGCAAAATTGACCTTTCTGAGTTTTTCTTGAAACAGTTCGCAGTTATTCGAATGAATGAAATTTTTAAAGTTTAGGAAGAAAGGAGCTTTAAGCACTTTAAGGTTTATTGAAGTGGAAAATCGTCCTAGTTCCGTTGTTAGTCATCCAGTCATCACTGCTTTAGAATACGTTGAAATGCTTTAACATGAGCGCACTGATGGTGATTGAATGGCGAGCTTCATGACATACACAGTAAATCATAAGGGCCTCTACATCCAAATTCCATCCATGCTGCTCATCGTCAGTGCCATTCGTCTATATGTTGTGAGTAAAAAAATGGACAGCATCTTCATCCGTCCTGCGTTCGTGCTGCCCGTCGTCAGCGCCATTCTTCTCTACGTTGTGAGGGAAATGAAGAAGGGCTTCTCCATTCGTCCTGCGTTCATGCTGCCGGTAGTCAGTGGCGTCCATTAGAGGCAGGCGCGCCACGCCCTCTATTCATCGCATTCGTCATCCGGCTGCAAACCATTCGTCGCCTTCTTCCGTTAGCACTTAGTTGTTTGCTTCTAGGAGATGTTTTTACCGATAGAAGATACAAGGAGTGCATACCGTGTATCTTTAGACAAATGGAAGAATCAATTGTTATCAGTTCTTTATTTTTATCTCTTTTTCTTTACTTTTCTAAGTTTCTTCCTGCAAGTTTGCAAAATTAAACGAATATAGCTAATGTAGGCTTACAATACATCAATGAAAAAAGATGATAACAGTAACTGTATTTTTAAATGGACCCAACTTACACATTGATCACATCCACCCCGATACTGAAAAGCAGTTTCATGGTTTTAATTGAGCTTTAGGTTTCAGCATTTTCTTGCAGCTTTTAGCGATATTTCTAAAGCAGTGCATTCATTTGTTTAGCCAAGGATAATCTATTTAAACCAATATTATTTGTTATATTGGCAGCCACTACTCTGCCCTGGTGATCCTTAATTCATATTCGTCACTTATTCATTATTAACTACGGCTAACGTGCCAATTACCCAAACCGAATTCACAGCGACTTTTTGTCCTAGTATAAATGGAGAACTAGGCGAGAGCGAGACGAGGATTGGATATGCAACTGTGAGCATGGTAGTGGGGCTTTGTCAAATTGGACTATAGCGCTTGGAATACACAGTTTTTGCATTATGGACACTGAACAATCCCGTAGAAATGTCTCTTATTCAAGTTTTACTAAATCTTACTTCTGGAGTGCCTCATATATCCGTTCTGCTTAAAGCCACTCCATCTCGAGAGCGCAGACAGGGAGCGAGGGGCGGTGTCAGATCGATCTACAGCCGCTGCCCTCCCTCGTTTTCGCCCAGTCACGACATCACTCGGGGCCGCCAGCATCGCCCATTTCAGCAGTTCCATGTACATCCACGCTTCATAAGAAATGGTAGGAGGGATTTTCCAGAAGCCAACAAATTATTTTTTTGAGTAACAAGTGTGTTTCATTCATTGCTATTTTAACTACAAAGTTGAGAAATTACTTAGACGTTTAAACGTTTATAGAAATTTGCGAAGAAAAACTGGTTCTTTAAATGGTTGTGTAGCAAACAGAGAGCCGTCGAATTTTATATTTCTCTTAATTTTTCAAGAAACACGATAAGGTCATCCTTCATAGTTATTGCTTTCTGTGTATTTTAGAAATGTAGAGTTCAATTAACTCCTTTGGCTGGGCTTCATTCAGGTCTTCCTCGAGAAGCCCTTGTTGAGATCTTCGGTGAAGGCTAAGGCAAGCTAAGTATGTTTATCGAGCAGTAAGTCCAAATGTCATCGTGTTGCCTTTTCTGTTCAGGGAGACCGTTCGAAGTTCTCCATTAGTTCGATACATCTTCCATCTGTAGAAAGGTCGTCATTTGTTCTGCAAATAGACCATTTGAGTGATGGTAGCTACATTGTAGGAAATTGTTCCAAATATTTTGCATCCCACATTCGGCTTGCTCCACCGTCTTCAAGCGGTCGGTCGACTAATCGAAAGGATGCTTGCCGTCACAGGAACTGCGGCCATCCTAGAAGAATCCGAGTTTGATGGAGCCAAGTTTTCCACTGATCCGCAGAGATCGGCAACTGCTTTTAATTTCGACCAGAAACATTCGCGCACGACTATCTGAATATTTCAGAGGAAATCACTATCGACCGGCATTTAACATCTTGTTAAGGACTGAACACAACAAATCCTCAACTTTGAACCAAACCTACATGCAGACTCTTTATGGATAACGGTTTCAAGACACTGAATAGAATGAAAGGAGTGCTTCATTCTGTATTGTATGTGGTGATGCGAAGATGTATATATTTAATTACGAAAGTATTGGGTAGTCCAAGAGTTGTGTTAGACTTAAAGATTTTACTTGCAACTCACGATCATCGTTATTGATAGTGCTTATATGATGATGGTAGATAGTAGACATATTTGACGACGAGACTTCTATAGGAGTCATAGGCAACGCAAAGTAGTGCCCTCTCTCAGATTTAAATGGACATATCTTAACTCATACTGATTGCTTGTAGTAAATCTATTCGATTTGCAAATCTTTGCCTACAGGAAGAAGGCTATGTTCTTTATACCTTTACCGAATATTGATCTTCTGAAACCCGTGACTTATACTACTTCCACTTTATTGCGTCGAAACTCATATTTGGAACACGAAAGCAGTAGGTGAACAACTGGAATTTCGCCAGGGCATGATGATGTTCGACAATCAGCAATACACGTCTATGTTTGATAATGTACAGTTGTTGTTTGCAGCTGTCCTTCTTTCGTGGAGGATTTTGGATACATAAAATTCCTTGCGAATTTTTCAAAGTTTTAGTTCTAAATTTATTTAAATCCAAAAAGACACAGTGTAAGCTGTGTATGGGATTATGCGATGGGAGGAAGTTTCTCGTATAATTCTATAAAGTTCTAAACTCCTGAAATACTCTAGTAAGCTAGAAATCATCGTCAGTTGTTGGAAAACGGCTTCCTAGTGGAGGGCTTCTCTCTGGAATCTCTCTGCCACTGATTCTATCTCGTTGGAGTGAGTTACTGTGCACTCGCTTTCATCAGCAGGAGAGAGAGGGAGAGAGAGGGAAAGAGAGAGAAAGAAAGAAAGAGTGAGAGAGAGTAAAATATTCCATTTGCAATGGTATAGACGGCATTTCTTCATGCTTTCCTCTTTTTCGAAAAATGTAGCTGAATTATAAGTCAAGTTACTCGGTATTTGTTGCAGTGAGATCCAATCACAGGATTTCTTTCTTTTGAAGACCTTTTTAATCTACGTTACTAGACTTTCGGAGCTCTTGTTAAGAACTTTCGATTAAAAAGATTTCGATGAACACGGGTTCGGTGATCGAACAGTGCCATGTCATAATCTTCCTTCGGATCTTCGGTTTTGCTCACACAATGATTTGGATTGCTGAGAATGGTCTCTTCCGGTTGTTTTCTTCACCCTCTCACAATTCAGTACTCATTTTATATTCTATGATCAAGGCGAAACTTTCCATGTAAAAGGCATTAGTTCGAACGGTTGCAAAACGAAATCGATGTTCAGTCAACACCGTCTCCTAAGAAATAATACAGTCGTTCTAGATATGTGCCTTGCCCTTTAGTGATTTCCGTGTCCAGCAGCGTTGGTGTTTCTTTCTAAAAAAGTAGGTTGAGTGATGGGAACGACCTAGTAGAAATAAGGCTGCAAGCTTTGCACGCTTCCCAACTTTGCACCGTAGTCAAAATTTTCTGATATTGTGTTGCTGCTCTTTCACAGCTCCCATCTTTGAATTTGAGCCTTCTGTGGAAAATTTTTGACAAGGAATCTCTTGTTAATTCGTAGAAGACATTATTTCTACGAATTAATAAGGCTTTTGGAGCTGGTCAAAGAAGGCGCTATGCCTTCGACTTCATCACGCTTCGTATAAGTGATGAAATGTATACGTGGTCTAGACAGTGAAATGTGGTGGTCTACCGATCAAACAACTCTGATAGTAATTTGCTAACCACCCTAAGCAACGAAGCACCTGATTAATCTGGACGCAGGATCGAAAAAGCGATCGAACCTGTAGATTGCAGGGCACCTCTAACCACGACACTACGAGTTCTCTTCTTGGGCTTACCACCCCTAAATGGGGAAGTTTTTAATCTCTACTTTTCCTGATTGACTATCGTTTAACCTCAGCATGAAAAGCCAATATGTTTTTAAATTGTTTTGATCATAGCACGTTTTCATAATACTTTTGTTCGGCCAACATTTCGGCACCTTCGTCTTTTCCATAGCCGCATTGATTTAAGTCGAATATCCACAGCAGTATAGTTCTTTGTAGCCGCATCGACTCCAACATGGCAGAGTATGACAACGTTCGAAAAAGCTTATCTTAATCGGCAGCCACTTTATTTGTAGTAATCTATCAGCTCTTTGTTTGAAATTTTTCCAGACCAGTAATTTTTTGGGTTTGAGTGAAGTGTTTGACACGGGCAGATCTTAGGTTAGTGATGGCTTGCTCTTCAGATTCGATAAGATGAGATTTTGGACACTTCGAGAGAAGGTGTTCCGTCAGAAGAACATTTCGCATGGCAGTCTGGAGACGCAGCTACGCCGATGTCTCACCACCACCGACATCACGCTGCTGGGCATCGGCCACATGATTGGAGCCGGCATCTACGTGCTCACAGGTATTCTCTCGACCACATTTACTATTTGCTATATGGGTCATGTGTTATTATACTTATCTATTACATGAATAATAGATGTGTCTTCTCTCACTCTGTTATCAAAAACGTGATCATTTGAAGTTTTGCCACGTTATTCAGAAATTGGACAGTTGTGAAGAATTGTTTCACCTCTCCTCTCTTTCTTTTTTGTAAATTTATTTTTTGTGTTTAAAGTTCTTTCTTTGTTTTTGGACTTTTGAGCATTTCCCCTCACAGAATGTTTTCGCCTCCGACACTTCTGAGTACAGCCAGTCATCTTCTAGTATGTCTTTTAGCTTTTTGGCATAACGAAATAACGGATCTGCCCCCAAATTCTCAATATTCCTTGTGATCGCTTGCATCATCTGCTTCCAGTTTATTCTTGAAGTAGCAGCATTTTTCGATTTCGATCCGTTTTAATCGTTATTGATGGTTATAGATCGAAAACCCATTACCCATTTTGTTGATTTTGTCGCTTCTGCATATTTTCAGCCACTTGTGCTTTCTATTTCGTCTATGAATTCTTGGTATTCCCCACACATTTGGGACACGATACCTTCCAGATCCGTGTTTTGTTAAGTTGTTAGATACTCTCTAAATGTTCCATCTAGCTTGATAGTTCCTCTAGTACTATTCGTTGGCATACTTGCTTGTCGTTCGTGGCCGCAACCTCGTGGCACTTGACGCAGTTTCTTCTTAATGGGTTGATTATCTGTGAAGTAATTTTAATCTTTCGAGGAGTGCCAGCTATAATAACAACACGGTTGCTGATAGCTTCGTACGTGGCCATCATGTTTAAAGTATTGTGAAAAGAAGGCTTCTGTCGTCATAGAAGCAGCGTCGCTTGGGTGATTTCAACAAACAGTTTCAACAAATAGTTTCACCTGTATGTATTTACTCAGCACTGCGTGACTAATAATGGAATTCGATGAGAGGGCAGGAAAACAGCTTCGTCGTTGTTGGAAGCGAGAATTTCCCAACTGCGTGTCTTCTCTTCATAGCTTTATCTGTTTATTCTTTACGAATGTAAGATTGTTACCCGTGCTTTATTCCAATCATATTTTTTTCTTCGGGGCTGCATATAGCCCTTCTGTCGAGTGCTGCTGGAAGGATGATGATTGTTGAAAATATGTTTTTTCAACACTGAAAGCGGCACATCGAGTTTTCATTATTGTCAAAATCATCTGGCGGTGCTGTGCATACAAGACATATAGTGTTTAAATGAGAAAAAACCAAAAAAAAAGAAAAGAAAACCGAAAAGTAATAGAAATAGCATGTTGATTTTTCGTCCCTGAAATAACCCCTGAGTTGAAATATCAATCAGCTTTTGCACTTCCTGCTCCTATTACCACTTATTAGGACAGACTTTGGTGAAGCTGACCTTGTGATTCGAGACAACGGCTTAACCAGCAAATCTCCGAGTAATGGAGATTGTGTTGTGGCCCGCACAACCAGTGAGGACGGGCCGTTCAAGTGCCAAGTATCAAGTATTACTACTTATCATGGAACGGGTAGTGCAGTGGTAGTGATCCTACCTGCTACTCAGATAACACATACTATCCGGGTGCTGGCTTGATCGTACTCCGGGTCCACCAGACCTCTCATCCCTCCAGGATCGAAAAATTGGTACCAGACTTGCTGGGAACCGCAAAGAAAGCTTGAAGACAGATCCAGTAATAATAGAATAATTATTGCTGAAACAATGGAAAATCCAGCGCTGTTAGATTTTTTCGATGACTCAGACAGTGTTCTCATTTCTAGGTGTTTTTTGCTTAAATTCGGCAGCAAATAAGCATCCACTGGTATCACTAACCAGTTGGATGCACGACTAAATCCAGTTGGGCGAAATCCGGTTTGTCCATTAGTCGTTTGATATACGAACGGCGGCGAATAAAAACTTCGTGATTCTTGTTAATACTAGACGAAAGACGGTTTGTTTTCCGCATAGATATGGTGATATATAAGTGATATGTAACGTCATATTCATAAACATGCCGTAAACGCTAAACCTTGCCAGAAAAAAGCGTTAAAGAGATATGTCTGGGATTATTTCTTTAAAGATTGTACGTACAAATGTCCACTCTCACCTATGAATCATCTCTAAACAATGTGAAAAGGTTGTTCTCTATGTGAAACATTCAGTGGAAGACTCGTAGAAAGCGGTGATTATGCAAAGAAGCTATTTTGTGTTCAATTTGATTGAAATCTTGGTTCAGTATTTTCTGTTTCGTTATGGAGGTGTTTGGCCGTGTAGATTGTAGTCAACCTGACCTTTCCAGGCTCTGAGGAAGGCGAAACCCGCTAAAACGTCGGCTTATGCGTAAATAAGGGAATAAAATAACACTTCGTGTTTGCTAAACAAGGATATAAGGAATGTGAAAAGGCTTTTTTGACGAGCTTCTGTAAAAAATATTAGTAGATCCCACTTGAAAAAAAAATTAAGTAACTTGGATGTTTTGCATAACATTTCATGTTTTTTCATATTTTCTTCCTTGTTCATATGTAGATGTCATTCTTACGGATTCCATAAAAGGGTGAAAGATGACACCTCATCTAAGAAGAGCTCAATAACATAATTATACGACCTGATTAGGAAGTGAATGAATTTACTGTAACTATGCAAACTCAGGCTCCGTGGTCCGAAACGTGGCCGGTCCGTCGATCGTGCTGTCGTTTCTGCTCGCCGGTGTCGCTTCTTTGCTATCTGCGCTGTGTTACGCCGAATTCGGTGCCAGGTGAGACCGCTTGCTCCTCTCTTTATGGGTTTTCAATCGTCAAAATTACGAGTTTATTGTCGAAAACAATTTTTCCGTGTGGAAGTCTTCACCGTTGGTCTTTGCATCTTTATCATTTCATGATAATAAAGTGGTTTTAAATTTGTTACAGTTCGATGATACTGAGCTATTGAATCTGAGTTCAAAACAGTCGAGAAACCTGAAGGAATTAGTTTACCGAATCCTATGGACCTTTTTGAGTAAATATGATAGGTATGAATGCATATAACGGAAAATCCGACCCTCTGTCACGAAGCCCAAAATTTAAAACATTGTTTTACATTAGTCATCTCATGCTAATTTTTGGTAGATCGTTTATTCCTTGCGTCTATGTTTTTCTTTTTTAGTAAGAAAACTAACGCGTTCGTTAAAGATTTCCGAAGGCGGGTAGCGCCTACACGTATGCCTATGTGGGAGTCGGTGAATTATGGGCGTTCATCATCGGCTGGAACATCGTCCTCGAACATATGCTAGGAGTCGCAGGTCTCTTTTTAACTTTTTTGAGCTCTTTTTTCAGAATGAGTGAACGATTACTTATAGCCTTTTTCGCTTGCATGACAATTCACGACAGCTATTGAGACAACTACAAGGAATGTTTTAGTTCTGATGAAACAAAAACCGGATACCTTGGCAAAAGCATCTAGTTCTTCTGACGCTTCCTTCACGATTTAGTTAATTCTACTAAGCAAACGACGTTGTATTCCAGGTAACTGTTAGAGTTATTGCAGCCGTCGCTCGATCCTGGTCTGGTTATTTGGATTCGTTGTTGGGAAATGTGATCTTCAACACCACCATTGAGCGTATTGGTCGAATTGAGGTTCGTAGTCAACCAATTTTTTAACGAACACTTATTTTCAGTCAAAGCGCAAGGGCAAGTGTTTGAGACATACACACACAGTATAGAAAGCAAAGTACTTACTACAAACAGTAGAACTCAATAAAACGGTTATGAGCTCAAGCAAGATATTTGTCAATGCTTGTATGTCAAGATTCATATTGTTTTGCAAAGAACGGACAACTTTACAGAAGTCGTCGTTTTTCGGCGACTACCCGGACGTGGTCGCTTTCATTCTGATCGTCGTCGTCGCTATATTCGTCGCTCTGGGATCGAAGGCATCGACAAATTTTAACTCAATGTTCACTGTCGTTAACATGATTGTGGGTATTCTTAATGCAAGCTCGACAGAAAATGAGAAAAAAAGCCCATAGAAATTCAAAATATTGTACAACGCTATCAAATTAGTGCTTAAACAAAAATGGGTTCCTTTCTTCAATTCTCTCTATTTCGAAGATCAACTAGGCCATTCAAAGATTCAGTCAAGTTTGTCTGAATAATGGCACATTATTTAACAGAACGATGAAATATAACCAGAGATCGAATTTTTCTTTACTGCTTTGCAAAGAATTCTGAGGTATAAGGATTTAGGTAATTGTAATTGTGGTTGGTTATGGCATCACTTTTGCTGACTTCTCGTTATGGAGAGGAGTTGACGATGAAGGACGATCGAGGTAAGTTTTTTGATTAGTTAATACGGCTCATCAAAGAGCAGAACTCATAATGTGGTACAACACGCGTCTCGGGATAACTACCTACTAATTAACATGTAGTTTGAGCATAGCCCTTCATCTTTCTCCTAGCAATACGTCACAAAGGGCTATCCGGAGACCTTTCAGATGAGACAGAAATCTCTGAGATTATCTATCGAAAACAATCTGAGGTTGCTTACAAAACTACGGCATTACAAGAACGATTACGGAATGAAGTTGAGGTATAACAATCGAAGAAGTTCCAGTTAAAGCTGTGAACGTAAAAGGCTTTAAGGCGAATGTCCCACATATTTTTTGGGAATTCTCGCCTTCACCTATCTTCAGTTTGCCATTAGGTCATTTAGAAATACATTTTTTCTTACCAGGGCGCACCCGATTAGTGCTAAAAATTACTGCGCAGGTTCATCAAGAGAAAACGTTTGCTTTTTTTTTGGTTACCTGACCATCTGTTTTAATATTTTGTCCTCAGTAAAGATCATGCGTCCCCAACAAACCGTTACTTAACTGGTGTGTTGCTATTTTCGACATATTTCTTTCCTAAAGCCCAAAAATTCCATACCAATGCTTCGAGTATAATACATCGTCACTACAAAGCGTTTGCCGGCTGTTGTGGATCAGGTAGAGGTTCGTCACCTAGGGACCAAATTTATTCTAGGAGGAAAGGCATCGTTTCGTGAGCTGGATTTCCGAATGGAAACAATTATCTCCTTCTCAGCTAAAATTACAGCGCAGAGAGATAACCTTGCTGTACTTTGCAGTAAAACTTCTGCAGACCCCCCCAACACTCCTCCCCCCCCACTTACCTAGGAAATCCACAATAGATGGCAGTCTTAACAGCTTGATTCATCTTGTTTGAAAACAGGAACAGTTTTCAACTATCAGCTTTAAAGCAATATGTCTGAGCTGAGATCAAGAACTGTTAATAGAAATAAAAACGATTGGTGCATTTTTGCTAAACCAAAGGCGACCTTATCTACCTTGGTAACACCCTAACGCGAGCCTTCTGGAGCTGATGATTTCTTCGAGGTTTTTTTTCAATGGTTTATTACTGTTATCTAAGTGTGAAAAAGAAGAAAAGCACCACAAACGTACACGCAGTTTTGTAGGAATAATGGTAGCAGTAATAATAAGAACGACAAGAGATAAAATTATTATTAAGGTGTTCTTTTCAGATTCTTTCCGTATGGAGTAAATGGAATGTTGGCTGGTGCAGCGTCGTGTTTCTTCGCCTACATCGGTTTCGACGGTTTGGCAACAGCTGGAGAAGAAGCAAAAAGTGAGTGAATCCTATCTCGACCTCCACAGCAACGTGTACCATAAGCACTAGCAGAATCACTTGGCAGCCACCGAAGCTAATTCCCTGTAGAATATCGTAAAGGTGGTTCTTAAATTTTTTAAAGACAGCAACAGTCAGCAGATTTCACATCATTTATCTTTGTTGTCATTTTCGTCTTCGCTAATTTTCTTCTTCATTTATTCTTATCAACTTTGCTTTGGGGTCCGTATGGCGCGGTGGTTAGTGCCCCATGCAATACACCTGGGATGGATCCCGCACCTCAGGCTCAGCAACACTCACCATTGATCAATGGCGAGGGTTTTATCGTTTATTTCATTCTTTATCAATTCTGCTCTAATTGTTAAAATTAATGCGGTTACTTAACAAAATATGAGCAGTCAGGAAGAATGGGGTGTGGTTTACAGAGGAGCGAGAAGGGTGAAGGATTTCTTTTGCACTACTACGGGAATACTGGAACAGCTTCAATAGAATCTCTTACTTTGTGAGAATATTGATGACTAACTGCCTGTTCACCTTTAAGTGGAACTTTGTGTGTGTTTATAAATTAACACTTCTCAAATTACTTAGAAGTCACAACGCATTAGATCACAAACGGATTAATAGCTTGGTAGAGGTGATAAACCGTTGTCATGACAATCAAGCTTCACTGAATTGCGACATACTTCAGCTACATGGGATTGAAATTTTATATTCAAGACTTTTTCGTGAGAACTGCTGATTTTTCATTGTTTTCAAATCCGTTCTATTTGGAGTGAAACCCAGCTATGCTGTAGATCCCGCTCGTTCGATTCCGATAGCAACGTTTGCTTCGATGACAGTGGTGACACTGGCGTACGTACTAATGTCTGCCTCCCTAACTCTAATGATACCGTACTACCAGGTAATTCGTCTCACGAACACTTTTGTACACATGCCCACTTTTTCGTCGGAATGAATTCTTTGTGAACAGGGCTAAGTTGCAGGTTCATCCAACGGCAGCGTTTTCCGATGCATTCGCACATAAAGGAGCCATGGTGGCAAAGATTGCCGTATCAATTGGTGCTCTGTGTGGAATGATGACCAGTTTGGTAGGATTTCCATAAAACTCGTGCCATATCACTTATTCTGGGATTCCAGTATTTTGGGATTATTCTCCAACTCCTTAGCTGATACTTGTATGACGACTTTGTTTCGATTGTAAATAACGCATTATGCCATCTATATTGATGAATGGTACAAAGTCTACATTAACCAAAATTACTATAGAAGCAAGAAGTACCAAATTTATGAACTTCTTTAGAAATCATTAATTTATGATACAGCATCGCATTAAGGTCGGTGGCATGTTCGCACTACCCCGATGTGTGTTCGCTATGGCAGAAGACGGCTTGCTGTTCAACTCCCTCGCAATTGTCAATAGCAAAACCCAGGTAGACTTTGCTAATATTCTACAAATGTGCCGTCACGAATGTATTAAAAACTTAGTAGTAGATAGAAGAGTAGATCATGAATATAAAGTTTATAAAAAGATTATTAAAAGCTATGCCGATGTGTATATATTGCAAAAATTTTGAACATAAGTAATTATAAGCATCCAGAAACACCAGTTAGTAAGGACTGGTAAGGCTTCATAACAATTCTTCACACGTCACACTAGAAATAGTATTCTAGGTAGACTCTTTTTTTCGACATTGTTTCTTTTTTCTAATTAGTGGTGGTGTAAGTAGTCGTGTTTTATTCGAGGTGCCAATAAACGCGGTGTTGGTGTTCGCCTCCATCACAGCGATCATAGCTTTGCTGTTCGACATCGAGACTTTGGTGGAGTTTCTCTCCATCGGAACTCTGCTCGCCTACTCCATCGTCTCCGCTTGTGTGATTATTCTTCGCTACCAACCGGCGAAAAATGCAGAAGATGGCACCTTCGATAATGGTATCTTATATAGTAGCTCTACTATCTATCACTGGAAAATAGAACTAGTTGCAAACCTGTTAGCACCACCGCTTTACAAAAATACAATCAGAAGTTGGTTCTGTTGAACATTTGCAATTGATTTTTTGAATCACTTGATGCAATTTTTGAATCACTCAAAATCACTTGATCAATGCCGAGGTTAATAGAAAGTCGGTCGTGGCATTTGCAATTGATCTCGCGTTATTTCCAAATAGGATGACCTTTACATCGAAATTTAACAATTCTGAAGCATTGATTCCAATATTTATAGACTAAATCATTAATTACTTCTTAAGGATGTAACTCATCACTTTATTAAACTGATCAAGGAGTAGAGGACAAAGTATACGACTTTAGCCAATTTTTTAGAATTACGCCATACAGACTCCAATAAATCATCGAAGTGCATCTAAGCACCGTAGAGGTAATCGAATGCATCTTTAACCCGTACAATCATTTTCGGGTTACTATGATGTTAACATTTGGAGTGTTTTCCATTCTGGACAAAGGTGGCACCAATTTATTGACCTCGTAGGAAAGAGACAAGTGAGCCAGAGGCGCGAGATCAAACCAACATCTATCTATTGCAAGGCACATTTAACCACTGCCTCAGAAGCACGCAAATAAACAAAATTAAGCAAAAAATAAGTTAGGAAGCAACTACCTATAAGTTACCACTAGTACAAGGCTCAGTCAACATTGCAATATGAGTCGTGTTGTATTCAAGGTCACCGAATTAGCACTGATTAATTACTAGCTTGCCAGCATAGTTTGCAACTGAATATATTCTGTTAGAAGACATTTGTACAACACCAATCTTCTCCTCTTGAAGCACTGTTAAATCACTTCTTTTTCGGGAGATCTATCGGTTGTTTCAATACAGTTTTAGGTGGCAAGCTAAAGCTTTCATTCCCTGGAAGTTCTTTTCTCGCAAGTTTCAGTCCAGGTCATGCTATTCATTATGGTGTCGTAGTGATGATGATTGGATTTGGTGGTTTTGGACTCTGCCTTAGTTCAGGTAAAATCCTTCATTAATCGAGAGATGAATTCCTTGGTAAGCACTCCAATATTCTACCTGAATCAGAATTCAGAATATTCGGTTAACTCTTCATAAAGTAGAATAATACCTAATAATGGAATGTCAGCGTTCTAAATTTTTATGCTGTACCAACATAAACGCAATTATTGTGAATGAATCAATCCAATCAGCAGTACACTTAAGGCATTCCTGAGCTAAACCTCATTGCTAATAGATACAATTAAAATTTGAGAGCCCATTTTATCTCCAAATCTACGACACTTAAGATCAAACGACACAAAAATCATTCCGAGGAAGTTGGAAAACTAAACATATTCAACTTGATGAGCTGTTCGTAGTGTAATTCTTTCCATGTCATGGAGCTGCGAACGTGTTACACGATGAGGTCCAACTAACAGTCATAGTTGATGAATTCACCGTTTCATATGAATAGAATGAAAAAGCTTTTGAGTACAATCACATACTACAATACTATTACAACCATTACTGTTGGAAATTACATGCTTTCCAGGTCATTTCGAGTCCACATCAGGAATGATGGCTGCGTCGCTGTTTGTGATGATATCAGTGCTGTCGTTAGTCTTCATAATGTGTCACCATCAAAATTCCATTCATCTTGACTTCAAGGTCCTCACATTAAACTTAACATCTAGTTCAGAATGTAGTCATCGTCTGCTAGGATTCAGCAGTCAGTATGTCATAGAAGTCAACAATGATGACACGCGTTTCAAATGCACCAGTTTTTGCCATTAAAAACCGTAGGTGGAAATTGAAACGCCACTAATCTGTCGCATGACGTCGCCTTTTAATGTGAACTGACATTGTTTTTCGAATCACGACCGCATGAAGAGTTGCTCAAAATGACCATAAGAACTCTGCACATTCAGGTCCCACTGGTGCCACTCGTTCCCGCCCTTGGCCTCCTTATCAACACTTTAATGATGCTACATCTAGCACCAATAACATGGCTTCGACTTGTTTTTTGGATGACAATAGGTATGGTAAATGTTTATAACACCATAGAAAGTTCTCGTAAAATGACTGTCTGTGTTGTTTTCAGCAATACGTCCTAATCATTTTATGGGATACTATTCCAGGAATGAGTATCTACTTTGGTTACGGAATTCATAATTCTCGTGAAGCATTCCCATCGTCACCGGATGCTCGTTTCTCGAAGAGCAGTACGTATGAATCCGTCGTGTCCACTTCGAATTACGATTCCTAATCCCTAAAATCACTAGAATCACAGCTATACAATAACAGGTATGATGGATCTTACAAATTGCATATCACATGTGTGGGTAGTTGATAAACAGAAACTTCTGAAGCATCCTTTCTTCAAAAACAGCAGTCAACTAGACATTTACGACTAGACACATTAAACATTGTCGAATGGTTGTATCCATAGGATTTAGTGTAAAATTTAAACATCAGAAGTTAGAAGATTGCCGAATTATCGCGCCAGTTGCGCTGTATTGAAAATAGAACTCCATTCTATGCCATCTTTAAGAATTTTCTCTATAATATCACGTGTTTGCTAACCAAACCTACTATTTTGCAACTGAAATAAAACTTGCATTTCACCAGTTCGGCATATTTACCAGTATACCTTATAGAATTTGGTTATCACGAAGTTATGCTGCTTATGAGCAACAAAAATAAGTCTCTGGACTCCTGACCGGAAAACTCAATTACATGTTGCCGCCCACATATTTAATGAGATTAGTCGCAAAAGCTCATTACAAACAAGAACCTGTAAATATTAGAAAGGAAAATGATTTTAAAATGTGTCCACTTCATACTACTACCATCTTTACATTCGTGGACGACTGAAACACAGCAATGAAGGATAGAACGTTCGGCGTTGATCAATACCTGAGGGATACGCCATGGATTCGACTTCATCAAGCATCGTAGAAGTGATTTAAAACATATCCGGTTTAAACAATGATTTTCGGTGCCCTATCGTGGCCATGGCTATGTCAACTCAGTGCTGTTATCCTCTAAAACAAATCTGACACCAACTTGCCAACGAGGGATGGATGAAAAGCTTAGTGGGTTCTAGACACGGGAATGAACTAGCTATGGAACAAATTTGTTTTGCAGGACACTTTGAACCACTTCTCTAGAAGCGCCGTCTGAGACAGTACTTTGCCACAAAATATCTCTAAGTTAAATTTGTTCGAATCATTACAAGCTGTCTAAAAATGAAATAGGAGCACGTAAACAACCCTCCATCACAAGACTGGCACGATAGTAACGAAATCTTACACTAAGGACTTTTGAGTTTATAAACATTTTATGAAATAAATTACTCAACGATGCAATCTAGTCAACCAAATAACCTCTGAAGATGATTATTTTTCCACCTGGAGTGATTAAAGTGGATCGGAACGTTTAACTCCCTTATCTTACTTCATCACTACAAACATCATCTTCCAGAAAAAAAAGGAAACTTCAACAGGACTATACAAAGTGACAAAAGACACCATGCTGAGCAGCTCAAATCAAACATTTATATTTAAAAGAAGCAGCACGTAAACATCAATAGAGAAAAAAACATAAAGGTTCGCCATGAAACAAAGACAATCATATTTTATGGAACTGAACAACATGGCAAGGTTAGCGATTGCTACAGAAGCGATGCGGGAATGGAACAAAAAGATGATGAAACCGATTAGACTTGTGGCAAGAACTATTTCCATAATCCCGTATATGCACGAGCTGCTACGAGCCAGGCAAGACTGGGTTGTGGTCACGGTGAAGAATTTGGCAAGAACAAGCAGGACACGACAATAATAAAAGCAATAGAACACCCTCACACAAAATAGAACGGTATATAGCACATCTAGGATAAATTCACACATAAAAAATTGCAGTTAATCAACTTCGATTTAAATGCTGGAGAAGCGATCTGTAGACTGATAACAACAATTGTTGCCGCTGTTGCAAACGCCATAAATTTTTAAAAAAATGGAAAAAAGACAGTAGTACTATTAACCACTAAACAACCCTATAATTGAAAAACTGCTACGTGCTGAAATGAGGTAACCCGCAGGCGGCCTCGCTAAATTTGCAAAGAGCGCAAATAACATAGATCGGAATTGAAAGTGGCACTTTGATTTCGAGAAACGTTGTGCTTTACGTATAATACCATTGGACATTCACAAAACAATACAACAAAAAGAAAACACTGTAGCCTATGGATCAGCAAAGAGAGTGGTAGCCGGCAAATAGGATTTAATTGGAGGTTTCTTCATTGACTTACTGAAATTGGAAACATAACGAATAACACAATGCTTCAACACCAACAGCGTCAAATTTCCAGTATCAGTAAGCCCATGTTGCTATTCTCAGCTGCAGATCTCCATTAGCGCTGGTAAACAGTAAAGGAGACAGCAGCAGCGCCACAATGAGCAAAAACAACACGACTGAAACATAAGAGTGGTGGCGACATCTGCCGTGCAGATACGCACTGTGGCATGAAGACGTAACGTATTCAGACGCGACGACGTAAGACGGACGCACGGTAGCACGGTGGGACGGGAGACGAAGTGTCAACGTACGACGTATACGCACTACGCTGTTCTCTACGAACCGAACCACTACTGAGATCTGCATCCATGAATGTAGACGCACACATAAACATTCCCACCTAAATCGACACACATCGACACATCACCGCTTTGCTCGAAACTTCTTTAACAGTCTTATCTTCGAATGTTCTACCTATTCGGAATTCCGCAAAGTCGAATTTCAAAGTCGATTTTTTAAAATTGGGTCAACTGGATCCATTTTAATTCCAATGCTTCAAAGAAATTTTTTCATTTGTATGTATACGGATAATGCGCAAAAATTAATGGATATGTAAGCTTTTAGATGATAGCATTGATCAAAACTAGTGCAAAAGAAAAATACAGACTCACCACGGACACGACTTGTGTAAACAATAGTAAGAGCAGGAATATGAAGTATGAACGTCTTTTCTAACTTCCTTATAAGCAGTATAAATTTACTTTATTTTTAACATTTGCACTTTTCGTGAAGGTTTTACGCGTTTTCATTTCTCAGCATTAGACTAGCTTCATTTTTGAGAGCTACGGAGCTCTGTCCAAATCGTCAAGCTACTATCCCCTCGCAGAAAACTGTACAATAGTAGAACCATTGCAAGACAGTGTCAATAATAACTGCTCACAAATTATCAAGCTGGGAAAAAACGAAGGAAATATTGATGCTCTAAAAAATTTGGATTCCGCGCGGTATGCATTAAATGATGCAGTGTCTAAGAAGGAAATTCGCAGAGATATTTACACGAATAATAGTTTTGGAACATCTCGATTATCTGTAAAACTAAGCGTCAAAGAGAAACCTGGACATCCGAGCAATTGTCTGCATAATTGCGTGGTGCTACTTTGATGAACTAACTGAATAAAGACTAAGCCAAGGAACTGCTGAAAATCTTCAAGGTGCGCCTCAAGATGTTTGTAGTCGGACAATACTTTTACTGCTAAGGTTATCGAGTCCTCAAAACGTCGGATTCCTGATTAGCTCAGTGCTGAAACAATACGAAAAGTGGATGTTGCCGAGGACTTACTGCTTTCAAAAGGACCTATGATTTGGAGATGCTTACTTGGATACTTGAATGGCCCGTCCTCACTGATTGTGCGGACCCAAGCATAATCTCCATTTTTCGGAGATTTGCTGATTAAGTCACTGTGGTTCTTTGGAATCCCGAGGACAATCTGGCCAAAGTCTGTCCCAGGTCGTCACCACGACAGGCAGTCGCAGCTCTTGTGGATCTGAGAGAAATTTACCACCATGCAACTTTGATGCTAAGACGGTGGTTGATCCTGGTATTGGTTAACTCTTAGGTATGCTCCCCAGTGGAAACGCCGGACTCCTCAGTTTGAGAGACCCTGTCAGGGGATGAATCTCCCGCTGTACATCGCAGTCCGACATCCAGGAACACCTAGCCGGTAAACCGTTGGGAGGTGATTTCGACATAAATCATTGAAAACAAGAATACCCAACTGGTTTTCACAAATAAAAATCCAAAAATGAACATAGATTTAACAAAAAATTGCCTTCACTCAGAACAGTCTAAATATTATATTTTAAAACAAATGAATGAATACAGATGAAACAAAAACAATCGAACATCTGGAGCCAAGTGTTCTGTGGACTAAAAGCTTCTAGCAGCTCGCAATTAAACAATTTTCGCTCTAGAATTCTTAAAACGAGAACAAGACAATCATTGGCTCACACCATGTGCGCAGAAAATCAGCACAATCTTGGTCGGAAACTTAAGGAGGTTACATCCTCCGAACCACGAAATCCGTGAAGTTCAGATGGTAAGGTACAAATTACGGTGAAGCTCTTTCAACGGTTTAAATTATTCTAAGTGTTTACACTGCTGCTGGATTTCAAAGTAATACATTTCAAAAAATAACGTGTAGAACAAGAAAATACGTCCACGCTTTTCAGTCATCTAATATATACATATATATGCATATATATGTACATATGTATACATGTAATATATATGTGAGACAAAACTCAAGATCTAGGTTATAGGAGAGGCACGGGACTCCTTAATATCTGTATATTTCGTTTATTTACTTAAAAAAAGCAAGTTTTGCGTGTATATGTATAACTTACGCGAAGTTTTGTATCTACGACAGTAGGCCTATAAAGGTAGTCACATACTGTTCCAAGGACCAGAATTTAATTTCATAACTGGAAAATGAAAAAAGAAACGCACTTCTATCACGTACCTCGCCGATGATACGCAGTTTTAGACGACTGCTTTAGGATAGGGATGACTTCTTTCATTCTTCAACTGCACTTTTAAACGTTTAGAACCTATCTGGAACCCATTCATCGCAGCAATGGCATTTTGTGCTGACACCGCATTATCATACGAAACGAAACCTGGAAAGATGGAAAGAAAAATAATGGAATATTGAAAGGGTTTCCACATAAATTTTCAGTCTAGATTTACACCAATAAATTTCCATGTACGTATAAACATTTTTTTTTATTTTGGGCCTTAAACATCGATAGAACCCATGAATGATGGAACCCATAAACACGAAATTGAATAAGGCAACGTTTAGAAAAAACTATAAAGTTAAAGGTACTCTTTTAGAAATTACTAACCAAAGCATTTTGAAAGGTTCGTTACTTTGTCAATGAAAACCTTAGCTGATAGCACTGTCCCGAAAGGAGAAAAAGTTGTCTGCAAGTCAGAATCCCCGAAGTCCTAAAACAAGCGGAACTTAAAAAAGCCTATCACCATAATTTTCAAATTACGTAATTATAACCGAAGCCTAGATAACCTGGGGCAAATGATAAATAAACAGATTAGATCCTTCCGGTCCCTTGACGTCTCCATTACCAGTGCCCTGCACAGTCACCTGAGCGCTGGTGTTCATTTGGTTTGCCAAGGCACTCACTGAAAATGTACAGATGAAACTCCAATTACACTTGCAATGACGCATGAAAAAAGAAAAAACGGAAAAAATAGGAATTACAAGTATACTGCTGCATCACGTGTTGATATGGATCCATAGAAGTTGCAGTTGTGGCTCCACCCAACTGCGCCGGGAAACCAGCAGTACCTGCTGTTGACAGCGCAGTACCCGCAGGCGACGCTGCTTTCGCTGCCACCACTTGAACACCTAAAACAATCAACAAACAATCATAACTACCAGGTGAATTTTTCTTATGCTACATTAGGTGTAATACAACCTTTAAAAAAAGTAAGACTAGTGTAAAACAGCCTATTAACCACATTTAAGTATGGTACACATGAGAAACATGAGGATTTACGTACTGCCCTACGGCACAAACAATTCATTGAAATAGAATCATGAATGAATGTTGACTAACCATTTGCTGGTGTATTTTGATAGATAGGAGCGAGTTGAGCGGCAAATGGTGCTGACACGGTAGGTGTCGAGACAGCTCCAGTTCCATATCCATATGCAGTCAGATCACCTCAAATTCAAAGAGGTTTCCTTTATTATCATGCATAACATACTCGCGCAAAATATTCACGCCCTACCAACAAACTACGCTCAAAAGTTCTGCGAACAAACTTCCTATAATTTTTTGAAATGAGGTTATACGATTTTACAATGATATGGAACTGGAGCTGTTTCGATATCAACCGCCTCGCCACTTGCCGTGTCAATGCACCATTTGAATGACTATGACAATCATCTTAACAATCTACTGCGTATTTCTAAGAAACAATTAGCTATGCGATATTTCTTGTCTCCAAAGGTATAGCTATTACAACAGAGTGTTTAAAACAAAGGCGGTGAAGCTTGCTTTTCGATAAATATGGCCAATCTTTCGATATCAAGAATGGTTCAGAACTTGATAGCCTTATAGGAAAGCCTTCAGCTATCGTTCCAAACTTACAAATAATTACCGACTAATTCCTACAACAAGCCGAACTTCTTTAATATACAAATTGACAAGAAACTGAGGAGAAAACTTGTATCCTGGAAATTTCTAACGGAAGCGAAGGAGCTGTAAGAATCCAGCACTTTTCAGAGACACCATCATATCATGTATCCAGAAATCCTGACTGCTCAATCGCTTTAGTGTTCAATATACGGTTGCCGATAAAAAGAAACCAAAACCTAACTAGTTCATGGAAACAAAGGCGCATGCAGCGCAGTGGTTGGATGCGTCCTACAACACACATTAGATCGATCTCCGCGCGCCCAGGTTCACCAAGCCTTCCATCCGTTTGGGGTCGGCAAATTGGCACCAGACTTGTCTGGGAGTATAGCAGCACTGGCTCGATACATCGGTAGGCCACCACGAGTCATTGTATAGGCCAGATGTGCATTTAAGCACCTCCAACGATGTTTGATGAAGCCGAATACATGGAACATCCCTCAGGTATAAATCAACGCCTCCACACGAACTCTAATCAAAACCGTTAAAATCATAAGTCACAAATGTGTTAGTCATATGCACTAACGATAAAAGGAGGAAGGAACGTGTGGAAAAAAGATCTAATTAGGAGAAATCACAACGTTTAGCCTTTTATTAACTGCCTATTATTTCTTTACGGCTTTGCTTCGCTTTGCTTTTTCACCAGGGTTTCTTCTTTTTTTGGTCTGCGTCCCAGGTTTCGCAAATATCTCAGTACCATTGTGGTTGCATTTCACATATGTGGCAGAGTTTCAGCCGAACTTCGAGATGGCTCAGTTTCTTTTCTCTTCCACAATAGTCCATGATAACGGTTCGCTTTAAGATAGAACTATTCCGTTTCAGGGATGAATTAAGAAGAACAATGAAAAAACTTTAACTATTGCACCACTTTATTTGATTGACAGCAAGCGCTCTGAAAAAACCACATAACAGAATTCAATCAGCTGAAAAGTGTAAAAACCGAAGAATATAAATGATTCTGCACAAGCTGATCAAGGATAAAGCTCTCGGTGTTATTCAATTCCTGAGGGATGCGCCATGTTTTCAACTTCATTAAGCATCGTTTGAAAGTGACTGAATGCATATCTGGCCTTTATAATGACTCGCGGAGGCCTACCGATGTATCCAGCAGCCAGTGCTGCCATTCCCCCAAACAAATATGGCGCCAATTAGCCGACTCCGGAGAGGTGGAAGGCTTGGTGGGCCATGGGCGCCTCCGTCCACTGCGCTACACGCGCTCCAGCTACGTAGGCTGAAGTTAAGAAAATACTTTCTAAAACACGCTCACCTGTTGGTTGCGAGTGTTGAGCATGAACTTGCATTGCAAGAAGATGTTGCTGTTGTGCTTGCACCTGCGCTTGTGCGAGTTGTGCTTGCTGAATCTGAGCTTGCTGAAGTTGCGCGATTGTGTCAAGATTCTGTGAATGAAGCGGTGTCTGATGAAGAAGAGCGGCTGAAAAAAAGCAGAGGAACTACCTCTTTGAAAAATAAGAAAAAAAAACAACAACATGTCATGCTTTTGATGATCGTGCAAACCGTTAGAGTACCTGCACTTGAACCAATAACTCGTACGATGAAGCCGCCAAAAAGTGTTAAAGCAAACAAAAATGAGTGTGGTGATCATGTTGTTATGGATTCTAAGGTTACCCGAAAACACGTGGGCACATTTACATCACCTTGATAGTGACAACATACCCGTAGCAACGAATAATATAACTGAATAAAGATGTAAGATTGAAAACTCAACTCTACATACAACATGCAGTAGGGAGCGAGAAAATTTCGATAGTGACAAAGTCAGTGGGTCATTCGAAACAAATCGAAAGGCTACCTTACACCAAGCGTACCACGGATAGGCCACACACCTCGCAAAGCTCACAGGAACCTTCATTTTCCTCGTTTTCTCTACCATATAAGCCCTTTAGACAAGGTGACATTGTACACAAAAAGTTCAGGACGATTCTTCCACCTACTGCATGAGCATTTTCACGACTAAACAATATTCTCGAACCTAAGGCTCTGAAGTTTTTAAGGACTGAAGATGAAACAAAATTCAGTGCAGAGATTACAAATGACAAAGAAACAAAAAATTGGTTTCGGGTCGTTCAATTGCAGCTGGGGGATTAAGAAAGTTGTAAAGGAAGTTTAAGACGTTACTGAATATTACACACTATTCTAGTGTGCTACGTAACATAACGGTTTTTCTTAACAGTCAATCTACAAGCAATAGTATTTTCACCTGAACACTGATTCATTTTTCCGTTTATCTTTTATCCGCATCTTATAGTCCCAACATATCAACTGCATCGGAGGGTATATTTTTTTTCCTAACCAATTCGTTTTATTTCATACTCGTTAAAAAATCAAATTCACTTAAATTCAGTTAGAAATTTGAACTGCAAATAATTTTCACGCCATCATGCTGACGCAAACATCACAGCGCCTTATCGGACAACATCGTTTGATCAATCAAAATCCAGAGTTAGATCTTGGTAATAACAACAAATCTTGCACCTTGGTGCCAAACACGTGTAGATTTTAGTGCTTTATTCCAATCAATAAAATGAGCTAAGCTTGCTTAAAATTGAAGGGCTACTTTTGTTAATGTCACCAAGTCTAAACGGTTGCAGTATAAATCCATTATAGACACACTCCCGGCCGCTTGAAAAATGAAAGTTGTTACTGTTTTGGGTGACAATACAACACGATGGAAAGTAGAGTCAGAGAGCACTATTCACCAGGCACGATTCAATTACCTAGCTGAGCTTTGCCAGTAGAATTTTGTCCACTCTGTACTAGAGCAGACGGACTGGCGTTAGATGTAACGACAGTATTCACCGCCCCAGAACCCCCTTCCGTGAGTTTACCCAACGCCGACAGCACTAAAACTGTTGGTTGAACATCACAAAACACCAGGTTGGTTTACTATGAAGAGTATTCTAACAAACCTCCTCCAAGAACCCCTAGCAAATTCTGCTGCTGCACCTGTACTCCGGGATTAAAAAGAGCTGCCAGCGCTGTCAAAGCTTGCAGATTGATACTTCCATTGGATAGCTGAAAATATAGAGTTGGACAGAAGTGAAAACAGACTGGAGAAAAACAAATTACAATAACTAATGCTAGCAAAACCTCATTCCTCGAAAGAGGACAAACAAAGCGTAGCGTTAAATACGAGCAAATAGAAATGCATCATAAATTATCGTTTCGTTTTTTAAATATTTTTCTGCACCATTTACTGAATACAATACTAGACATTACTTCTAAAAATAATGCTCGAAGTGTTTGTTTCGTGAAAAGGAAATAGAAATCCTACTGAACGCATACTTGTGTAGTTATAAAAGATATTCCATGGAGAGATTATCATGAACTCAGTAATCCACATAATGCATCACCGTCTTTGCATTGGTTTCCAATATTGTTGAAAGAACAAGATTCTGATTCCAACAACTGGTGTGAATCTTCTTAATTCTTCCAATCTGACGAACAATACCGATAATTTTCCGCCCTGAGTGATAACAGATGGTGGAATTTTCCTAGGGGCAATGATGCCGCGCCAAGCCACTAATGCTTTAAGGAAATGGACCTATGTAAGAAATTTTGATGAACTGAGAAAAACGGCTGACGGCCCATCGTGAAAAACTTCAACGGTGAAAAGTTCTTTACCTTCAGTAGAGAAACTTTTCCTGGCTTCGTGGTTCGAAAATATTCAGTAGTTTTTTTTTGCTGCATTCATTCGATTGACTCACGTTAATTTTGTTCAAAAGTACATCTAATTAAGAAATAAAAAGCTAAGCAAACTGCTTCTCAAGATCCCTTAAACTTGTAGTTAAGCAATTACGGGATTACTTGCTATTTTCACCCAACACAGGTATAGCACCCCTTTCGATCCTTCGAATAATATGACATGCCATCTGTAATGCGCAGCCATGGGCCACCATTTCCTTCATAGAATGAATATTTCCATGCTTGCTGTAATCGCTAACGATCTTTTAGCGCATTCTAATAAGAATTTTTAACTTAATTCGATGTTTTTCTTCAATAAGTAGACCATCTCTACCGTTAGGGCAAATTATGCAGTTTTTCGTTGTATACAGACGGTCATATAGGCGGTTGCGAACTAGTTGGCACCTTAGAGTGTCCGATGGTATTTCTATCTCTTGCGGAATTCTCTAGACCAGTCCCTATTAAGCAACGTTTTATGGCTGCACTCATTTCGTTTGAAACAAAGGGTAAGAGGAACGGAGCCTTGTTTTCGCTAGAATTATCACTCTGGGGCGTGGTTTCTCCTCTATGCCTATGCCTTAGAAGCTACAGTTTCGTAACCATTTGAAATGGCTATTGAGCGCGCCAGTTTCGAGATTCTTCCCTCTGCTCTAGCGAAAACAAGCCTCCGTTTCTCTTGCCCTTTATTTCAAACGAAATAAGTGCAGCCATGAAACGTTACTTAATAACGCCCAGTCGAGAGAATTCCGTAAGAGTGATAGAAATACCATCGAACACTCTAAGGCGCCAGCTAGTTCGCACCCGCCACCCTAAAAACTGCATAATTTGTCCTAACGGTAGATACGGGGACAGCAAGAGTTCGGGTACAGTCTATCTGATCTCTTGTAAAGCGTATGGGGACGAATACGTTGGCGAAACGCGTAGCCCGCTCTGCGTCCGCATAAAATAACACCTAGTCGGTAAATCTAAATTAAAACCAAACACTCCACTAGGCACGCATATGATGCGGGAACAAAACGGAGAAGAGTTTGAAGTAGGAGTCACTATCCTTACGCAGGAATCGAAAACATCACCGCGTAAAACTCTTGAAGCGTTTTGGATCAATTCCAGAAATTCAAAAATGAACCGCAAGGAGAAGTGTTTTGCCATTACGCGTGACCTGGCGCCATACCTCAGACTAATCCAGTGACCTGACACAGACACAGTCCTCGCCCATGTATTACTCTGTGCGGCTGCTATCCATCAACTAACTTAAATACTTACAACAAATAAACGGTAGGTGTTTAAAAGAAGCTGTTTCTTATGCGAATGCAAATTCATTTGTTAAGTTTTATCTGCTAGGGTTATGAAAGTGTTTGGCTGAGTAGATCACATCTCAATTTGACCTTTCCAAGCTCTGAAGAAGGCGAAACCGCCGAAACGTCAGCTATTGTATCCTAATAAATTCTATAACAACCTCGTGTCTCCTTATTGAAGAAAAAAAAATCGAATTATCAATCAATGCCGAGGTTAACAGAAACTCAGTCTTGGGAATTGCACCCTAGTATTGGTTTACTCTTAGCTATGCTTCCTGATGGAAACACCGGACTTGGGAATTTTTAACTTATTCAAGACGTTTGGCGAAGACCTCCCAACACTAAATCCTGAGATGGTTAGAAGAAACAATAACGGGTGATAAATACCGTCCAAAGACTTTTATGACGAAATTAATAGGACAATGCTGCGATATTTGCAAAACTCTGGACTACAGGTGTTTTAGTGGAGATGAAACAGCCTATTTTCCTTTCCGGGGGTTAGCGCATTCACCATCACACCATGTGGATCTTTCGTTTGGCCTTTCTCTCAGGCAGTTTTCCAAAACCAAAAAAATGAAAAAACGAAAAAAACCGAAAACTAAGCTTACTGAGAGAAAGGCGAAACGGAAGACCTGCATGGTGTGGTGGTGAACTCGTTTGCCTCCGGAAAGGAAAATAATGGGTTTAGTTCATCACAGACACCTGTGGTTAGGAGTGTTTCAAACATCTCAGCGTGAAAAGGTCTGGGATAGAGATTGCGCGTTAGTGCACACGACAATCACTACAACGTATACACTTCTGAACTGTGTTCATAACTCCCTTATTCCGGATAGTTTATCGCACCATTGTGATCGAACCTAGTTGTCAAGCTGCCACTTCATATAATGGATGATTCATTCCGCCCAAGCTCTCCAGTGAGAGCCTCGCTCAGAGTTACCTTACTGCATGGAACAGGTCGGTGAAATACCTGTGGCCACCTTTTCGCAATGAAAGTTAGTATAGCGGAGCTTACATATTAGAACGAAAACAAATGGCACCCTTCACTGATGGACACCATTAACGGAATTATAGGAAATGAAATTGACGAATATACCACTAAAGGCTACTATTCCTTGATACCATACCTATTTGCAAATATGCTCTAAAATTCGTCCAACTGGAGGAAAATAAATGTTGTTTAATGAGTCTACCATTTTCAGCCTCCTGATGTTTGACAGTCGCTACACCAGCACTGTCATAGCATAGTAATTAACGAATCACCTTCAGAAGTTTCAACTGCATATGAACAGTTTACCTGCTGTAACAAAGCGGCGTGATTGCTCAGAGATGCTAAGCCCGTTGCTGTTGGAGTGATGGCAGCAGCACCAGCGGCGGGTAATTTTTTCACTTCTTTTTCCCTTTGAGTGTCAGCAAATTTGACAACCAACGGTGCCGAACAGCCCTACAAAAAACGAACGCTCAACGCAACACGGACGACAAGTAATGAGCCGTCAAAAAAAAATGTTTGAGAAACACTAAAGTCATTCGTAAACTAGTCCATAAATATTTTAAAGCGGTTGCGAAATCATATGAAGCAAATGTACAACAAAAAGTCCTGCTCAACAATTACTTGGGAAAGTGGTTTCTGGGGAGGTATGAACCTATCGAAATTAGTCTGCTTAAAATACTATTGTTAAAAAGAAAAATAGATTAGGAAAGTAAATCGATATTTTAACCGGGAAGGAACTGACCAAAAAGAAAACTGGAAATTGTGGACACCGCCATGCTAGAATATGATAACAAATATGAGACAGAGTTATCGAATGCAACACCGAAATTTTTTTTTGTTTTTAAACAGGTTTCCATGCATTCTCCGTATGATTTCCTTCCTAGTCTAATTACATGATATATTTCTCTTCCAGTACTTTGATTTACTAAGGCAAACTTCTGCAATATAACAAAAGAATATGCTCCCTTTGGGGGGAAGAGAACTCACAGCACATAACAAAACCTACTTCAGGAATGATCAACAAAAAAGAAAAGAGGTCATGTCAAAAGTTTGGTGTTCGTCTTCTCAAAATTGATGCTCCCTCTTTTTACACTGCATGGATTACACTAAGGAAGCTGTCGATGCAATTCAAAATGTGCGAATCCGGTACTGCTTCCTTACCCCTCGTTTTTTAGATTTAGAAACAAGATGGAACAGACTATATAAAACTACGGTATTGTATTAAATTCTGCATGATAAACATGAACAAGAATGTACAAGGACACTAACATTAACATGCAGACCCATACAAACCTCACATAAACGCGCGCTCCATTTCCTAGATATTCCAGTTTTCTCCAAATCAAGGATAAAAAAGAAAAGAGAGAACACATAAACAAGGGCTAATAAACGTTGCAACATATATGAAATACAGTACAGTCAACTAAATCATCGGGACTCGAAATGATCGAGAAAAAGTGCGTGTAGAGAGGGAAACGAACTCAAACGCTACCTCCATCGTGGTCGAATGATGCATATCTTTGATTGCGGCCAACGCACTAGTGCGATTCGTATACGTAACGAACGCGCATCCTGCAAAAGACGACAAGCTCACATAACGCACACGTGAAGAGAACAAAGTAGTACAGAGCACAGGACTTTTCCGTACAAATCTTCTATATAGGATGGATTTCATGGAATGTTCAAACAGACATGTTAGTAAAGCCGAATTCTCCATTTATCAAAAATTTGGAGAAAGAAAAAATGGTTTAAAAAAGTGTTCCGCAATTTTTTGTGACGGCGATTCTTTAATTCTTAAGCAATTCAAAATCATTTAAGTCAAACACAATAAACTATGAAGAATAAGCCATGCGTGAGCATAGCGAGGTACGAAATGACAAAAAACACCACATAACGACTGACGCTGATCTCGAATAAAGCACAAACATTTCATATGAAAAACAGTACACCAGATAGCAGAAATTGGGACTGAGAACAGAGAAACTGAAAATCTCACACGAATTTACAGAGAACGTCCTAACCTACCATTCCAATGATATATTTAAGAGATATGTTGATCTTTACTCAAACCAACGACTACGAAAAGCTATGAACTTTTTATAATTCTCTGAAAGAAAAAATCTCTAAGTGCTGTTACCTCTGCTTTTGCCGTCGGTTTCTCTTAGCACAGTGCACTCCTCTATATGCCCAAATTTTCCAAAGTAATTTTTAATGTCGTCCTCATTGTGTTTTTTAGACAACTGACCAATAAACAATTTTCTCTCTGAAAACTTATCTATAAGGAGACAAGATGTTGTAACTATGCAAAACATATCGATAGAATTAAACTATACCGTTTCGATTTTCAGTATCGGCGGGCTTCATCTGTACTGGATGATGCATCCCATCAATGACCTCGATGTTATGTAGAGCACTTTGAGCTGCAATCGCATCCCGACGATGATAAAATGTGACGAAGCAACATCCTGTAACAACAATGTTGAGTACTACAGCAACACCTAAAAACAATGTGATCATAACATACTGTGTACTACTAACGAACTTGAATATGAAGTGTTGTTAAGACCCAACTTTCCCTATAGTGACAACGATTCATTAGTGAGTCTCATTCTTGAACTGGTTCCAGATGGTTGCCAAGTCTTGTTACGCATTCAGTAATACTAAACCTCCCTGAATCCGCACTTAACAACAAATAAGCATTCCTGTGCGTTTAGCAACATATACGCAAGAAAACCACCCCATACCGTAAACCCACAATCAACAAGGCGAGATTTTTAAAAGTCCGAAAGATAATTTTGACTTATTATTTACTGCCTATTATTTTTAACAGCAGGGCATATTGCGAAATATAACTTTCAATGATGCTGAGATATTTGCAAAACTCCGGACCGCAGATGTCTGCGGTGGGGAACGAACGCGTTATTGTACTTTCCGGGGAGTACCGCGTTCACCAATCCCGTTAACGGGTGATTGCTGATGGCAAAAGATCGATAAAACTAGCTGAGAGACAGGCGAAACGAAGGACCCGCATGGTATGGTGGTGAACGCGTTACTCCACGGAAAGGACAATAGCGCGTTCGTACCCCACGGCAGACACCTGTGGTCCGAAGTTTTGCAAATATCTCAGCGTCATTGAAAGTCCAAAAGATATTTGTCATCAGTGCCAGAATCTTATGACGTAGGTGGTAGGTATAGTTGCAATGCGGCAAGTAACCCTTCCCAATAGCAATTACTCCGACAATCTCGGAATGTTCTAATTCGCACATCTGAAAGGAAATTTCAAAGCCATGAAACCTCAAGCAGCGACATAACCTCCACCTAAACTTCGAGGTAAAATTCTAGCAGAACGAAATATGAATCTGAAAAGTAGATAATTAAGAATGATGTTGAAATGTTAATACCAAAAATACGCGGAGAGAAAATACCTACATGAAGTACATAAACGTTAGCAATAGATCCCATCAAATTCAATACTGCTACGTATATCGGATTAATGTATGATGATGTATTCAAGTAAAAATGATATGAGCTTCGAGAAAAATCGATCATGAAGATATATAGGAGGATTAAGGATAAAGAATAAAACTCTCGGCGTTGACCAATCTCTGAGGGATGCGCCATACATTCGACTTCAATAAGCATCATTAGAGGTGATTGAATGTGTATCCTTTACAATGACTTGCGATGATGACCTTTACAATGACTTGCGATAGCCTAGCGATGTATCGAGCCAGTGCTGCTATTCTCCCAGACAAGTCCGGTACCAAGTTGCCGACCCCGGAGGGATGGAAGGCTTGATGGGTCATAGGCGCCGGGATCGATTCCGTGTGCAGCAGTGGCGCCTCCAACCAGTGCGCCACACACGCCCTTGTAGGAAGATTACCCTGATTTATTACAGTGCACAATATTTTTTAGACCATAAAAAGAATATGCCAAAGTGAAGGCTACGAATTCCTTCATCAAAAGGCACTTCTAATTATCACACTAATCACGACGGTTTTTGTTCTGGAACAAGCATATAGAACTACGTTTAATTACCGACCATCACCATGTAATCCATATCCGTCTTGTGTCTTCTCCCTAGCAAACGACTACGTTCTTTTCTGTTGTACTTCTTGTTCCAAAACCCGGTTTTGTGTGTTCTTTATTAGAAAATTTCTTGCTTTTCACATCCTATACGTCCTTCCATGTACCTTCCTATGCCTCTAGAATATATCCAATTCCTGCTTGTGATGATAAAAACTCGTCCATAATCCAACCACATTGCTATCAGCTTTTGACAATATTTTGTAAGATATGCAAAAAAGTACATTTTGGTACCACAATGTCTTAATTTTTTGAGATGACTGAGAGATAGACGAAGCAAGTGCTTAGTGGGTAGCATGTGAACCTTCGACAAGCATAATTGCGGATTCGAAACACACCTGAGGTTCCGAATTCTGCTCATATCTTAGCATCCTTGTGGTTATATTTTGGCATTTCTTATACGTTTTTTATATCCGTGATCGCATAGAATGACGGTGAATCCTCAGTGGGTTTGAAAATGAAACAACAACCAATAACTGGTCAACACTTGAGTTGTACGGGGTTAAATCATGTGACAGACGGCTGTGAATGGACCAATGAAATCTCTTTTACTACTCGTAGAAAAAGAATGGGAGTGAAGAATACGGATGAAAGACCAACAGATAGGGACAAAAGAAGGTTGGGTCGAGGCAAATGAAAACTGATTAATAAATAAAAAGATTCATTGGTTTCTTCCTCTTAGGTGTTCTTCAAGGTTCTTTTTTAATATGGGAAAAGTTAAGCCGCCATATTATCGTAGTTGGGAACCTGCTCTTACAGGCCATTCTCTAAACCTCAAGTTATGCTAAGAGAGAGGATTAAAAAGATGATGAGTAATTCCTCGAATAATATAAAATGTAGTAAAATAGGCTATAGAAGGTCAGTCCGCTTGCCTAATTTTCTAATACAAACTGATAGTTTATAGGGGTTACACATCTGCATGAACTTGGTTTTCCCACCTAATAGTGAAGAAACAGCATTCCACCAATAGACACATAAGAGGTAAGCACGGTATCGAGGAGGACCTTTGTGACAATATACAAAATGATACATGATTTTAATGGATTAAATGCTTAAGTCCGAGTTTAATTCAAACAAACAGAGCGTAAGTGTCTGTAGTCTCAATAAGCCATGTCTTCGACTATAGTGAACAACACTACTAGAAACCGAAACATGCTGCTTACTTTTGTAAGTTTTGTTTTTTTTATTGTTTTACATGGCCTATTTTTCACATCTACAGTGCGGATTCCAGCACTTCTTACACTCGATCCGTTCCCTCGCATTCATCATCCACTAAATTCTTCTAACTTTAATGTATGGCTTCGGCTGCTGCTTGACAATTTTCATTTCACCTTAAATCTCGTAGAATGCTGGTCGAGTCAGTTGTCCATGGAGACCTAAGATAGCCTTGGTAGAGCGTTCACATTTGGACTAGAGCGAGTGATTTTTTCCGGACAAATCCGGTACCAGTTTCTCGACCCCGGAGAGAAGAGAATCTTAGTGAGTCCGGAACGAGATCGAGCCAACCATGTTCGTGATAATGGGCACCATTACCAGTGTGTTCGCCTCCTTACTTTTGTATAAAGTTATCTAGACAAGTTGCAGACAATGTGGCAAAAATTTGTATTTGGAATGTTACCATAATCCTCATAGAAATGTTAACTGTAGAATTCACAGTTAGTAAAATTATATATGACAGTTGTAAAATTGCAGAATTGTAACTGTTGCAATTATAAGCCAATTCTGCATAAGAAGTGTATGCTTCAAATATTGAGGATTTTGATTACATAAACGTAATCACGTGTCAACGGGATTGATCTGGAGACCACAGATCGGCATTGAACTCAGTTAAGCTATGGCTATAGCTGAAATCACAATCTTGATTTTTTGTCTACTGCATACCACAATGCTTCATGGCAGAGTATTATGTCAAACGCAACAAATGCAACCACAACGATGAATGATGACACTGTTCGATAGAAAACTAGATGAAAGAAAGGCGAAGTGAAGGACCCGCATGGTATGGTGGTGAACACGTTACCCTGGCAAAGGTAATAGCGTGTTCGACCCCGACCGCGGACACCTGAGGTGCGGAGTTTTGCAGACATCTCAGCATCATTGTAGTTGCTTTTCACATAATACCTACCGCGAAAAATTGTAGTGGGCAGTAAATAAAAAACTAATACTGTGACCTTCTAATGTTTTCATTTTCTTGTGAAGCCATCATAATGTATAATTTATCTCAAAAGCTAAACGGAAGGAATCAAACGGTTTTGGAAACTATTGTGGAAGTTGTGAAGACGAAAAGAAATAATCTCCTAAAACACCTCTTCAAAACCATGGTTACCGTCGCCTCGGAAACATGGAGACAGAGTAAAAATATAAGCATTGATTCGAATGCAATTTTTAGAGATATGCTAGAAGTAAGCAGTTCCATGCAAGGAGACGCAAACCGCAGTTCACACTCACATTAACAATATAAACTAGAGAAAGATGTCATACCTTTGCTCACTTGTGTCTGCCTGTCCCGTAGAATGTTCAGTGAGAAGACTGGACCATACTTTTCAAAAAGCTTTCGACAATCCGGTTCATTCCAATGGCGAGGAATCTGAAAAAATACTGGGATCGATGAGTTCCACTTTATTCACATGGATGTCGAAGTTTAAACCCTCATTTAATACCTCATTTCTTATCTCCAGATGTTGTTACAAAAATATCCATTTAAAACCCTGATGTCACACATTTCTCCAAAACCCTTAAACTATGTCAAACTAAAACTGATAGCAAATTCCGAATTTCCAAGAGCAGCTTTAGCGTGGGAAGTTCTTCCAAGAAATTCATGATTTGAATATTGCCTACGATGATTTTAGTTCACAGGAAAAGCAACAGTCACCTATATACATCATATATATATATATATATGTATATATATGTATACATCCATGCATATAAATACATAAATATGTGTGCAAACACATGCATATATATGTGTATATAAGTATCGATAGCCAACTAAACTACAGCCGAACAACGGACAGATAATTATCCAGAAGAAAGATATTATACTATAAACTTAGAATGAAGCGTTCAGTTTGTAAATCAGTACAAATATCATCCATTGCTACAGGTTATAACAGCATGAATCATGACATTAATTTCCAAGAGTAATTCAAGCTCTTGTTTGCTTCAGTACACTTCATGTATATTGATAAAGACAAAAACCGATGAACACGTTTGCAATGCTGATGTCATTAAACTGTTTCCTTGACCGAGTTCAATACATTCGTATCCCTACTTCTTTATTAATAACCGCAACCAATTTTTAATGACCACAGAAGATTAGTGCTTAACCGCAACACGATAGTTGAAGCGCAGTGGTCAGAGAGGCTCTATAATACAAACTGAATCTTGCGCTGATTCGACCTGGTCCCTGGGATCACCAAGCCACCCATTCTCCCGAGGTCAACAAATTCTAAATAGACTAATCTGATAGGATAAAAGCACTGGCTTGACATATCTGTAGGCCACCGTAATTGATTGTACGGAGCAGATATGCCATGTACACACACCAAACTACCAGTGCGAAGCATGATGCAGTCTAATGCATGGTGCATCCTTGAAAGATTGATCAACATCGAATGTTTTACCGTTTTTTATCTTGAAATGTCAAATGACGCGCTCAGCAATCGCAATCAATGTCGTTGTTACCAAATTCCCGCAGTATTTGTAACAATAGCAGCATTTCTTCCCACTATGATCTTCCGTCACCGTTCTCTCTGAACGTCGAAGCGTGCACATAAACCCAATAAACGTTTGCCAATGCACGAAAATAAAAGTAAAACGATGTCTGCGTGTACAGCTTGACCCCAATCGCCTACACTAACAGGGTCCGGCTGGCTACCAGTCCGGTGAATACGTGTTGAAGGAATGAATGCTTAGCAGCCCCGTTCAACTCATCTCTTGACCCCGTTCTGATAGAGGTCACCATATCTTGTCCGTAATTCTCGCATTCACGTAACATATAAAACTAAATGATTAATACAAAAGAAGATATCATACCACGATTACCGCATAAAGGGAGCAGGGTGGCCCCCTTTTCATGAAAAGTCCTCGTACTTCTATCTAGTGGTACGATAAAAAGTGGAGAACACCACCAACAAAACCTGTCGCAATGACATCCTTTAGCGAGAGCATTACAGAAGCTGGAACAGACATTCACAGTCTTTTCCGGCTTCTGTAATGCTGTTCGTTTCATAAAACAATGGGTACTGAAACAAATTTTTCTCGAAACCTCGATGTTAACGTAAAAAATGATTAGGTTGCGAAAATTGGGAACTATAAAATTCACCTCGTTCAAATTTTTCAAAATTTCCTATTTATCCCTAACATACTATTTGAATAGAATGGAAGGAATTTCCTAAAATCACCGCTGTACACTAGGTTGTCTTTAGCCCCAATATTAGCCGTCAGAATACAAGATAAGAAAATAGCCATTTCGGATTGTTGGGAGGAAAATCTGGAGACAATTGTGTATTTGCAAAACTCTGGACCGCAGGTGCCTATGGTGGGAACGAACGCGCTATTGTCCTTTCCGGGGAGAAACGCGTTCAACACCACACCATGCGGGTCCTTTGTTTCGTCTGTCTCTCAGATATTTCTATCGATCTTTACCACAGCAATCACCCGTCAGCGGGATTGATCTGGGGCGTCCATAGCTGAGAGACAGGCGAAACAAAGGACCCGCATGGTGTGGTGGTGAACGCGTTACTCCCCGAAAAGGACAATAGCGCGTTCGTTCCCCACCATTGACACCTACGGTCCAGAGTTTTGCAAATATCTCAGCAACGTTGTGGTTGTATTTCGCTTAGTACCCTGCCGCGAAATTATAGTAGGCAGAAAATAAAAAGGTATAACATTACATTTGCGTATATGTTTGCATGTCTGCAAACGGCTCCATATTTACAAAGAAAAACTAATTGATAAAAATGAACAACGAGACCAGAATATACTCACAAAAAGCTTCCCACATTTCCATTAAATCTATTCTGACATATTTTGATATTCTGAGAGAAGGCTTAAAGCATAAAGCTTTCGGCATTGACCAAACTCTGAAGGATGCGTCATGCGTTGAAATTCATCATGATTGAATGAATATCTGGCTCGTACAAAGACTGGTGGTGGTCCGCAGATGTATCATGTCAGTGTTGTTATTCTCCCAAACAAGTCCGGTATTTATTTGCAGCCACGGAATGATGGAAGCTTTAGCGAACCAGAAGCGCAGGATCGATCCAACGATCACGTGTGTAGCGCGGCACAGCTGTAGTTACTACTCAACGCGCAGGCTTTCTTTGATACAATGTGATGAAATATTTTGCTGAACAATCGATACTTTGAAAAAGTAACAGCTGCACACATCGCCAAGCGATGAATGTTTGGTTGCAGCGAAAATTTGTGGCAAACAATTCTGATGTGTGAATTCATATTTTGACAGGCATATCGTCGTTGTATAGAAAACATCTACTAGAAATAGAAAGACTCGTAGTAGAGAACTTGGGGAAACACGGAAAGTAGGCGAAAAGGAAAGCGCTTTAAGATATCTTGGTTGAGAATACAATTTATGTTTTCGGGCGTTATAAATTACTACGGGAAGAAGAAATCATGACACGAATCTATCGCGGCACCTGAAATTATTTGAACAAAAAAAGGATTGACGACTTCATAGAACATTTATAGACCCATCTGAAAGTCCCTATTTCTGGAAATCACTGCTAGAGCGAATTCGGACACACATCACCCATAGAGATTGACGCGCAGCCATTTCGTTAACATCTTCCAGTTTCCATATCGATCGCCAAAACCCTACTTGGCCGCAATCGCAGCACTTTTTCCATGAATAAGGCGACCCACGACGATAAACACTAGTCGTCGTTTAAAAGACGACGGGTACTCCATGAGAAATAGAAAGAAAGCGGAGAAATGTTTGAACCGAGAACCTGGTCACTGGTTAGAGATTAAGTCATATTCCAACGAAATGGTTCTTTACGATATCAGCGTGCCCGATAGATAAAATATAGTCTATGCAATGTTACAAATGTGAAATACTTCCAAGTGTGTTTGTACGCGAAAGTAAGAATCAATACCTATTGAACAACGCCGATGTTAATAATTGAAAGCCGGACCTGGGAACTGCTACACAAGATCCCGTAAGAATCAATTTTGTCAAACATGTAATTATGGTGGTTGAAGCACAACAAGTGCCACGTCGTAAACGACGTACCTGGCCGACAAACATTTTTATGGTATCCGGGTCTGGATCCAACGGCGTACTCGCAATGGCCTTCGAGTCGTCGCTCATTGTGCGTGTACGTAGCTGAAACAACTACGGCTGAGAAAATGACTAGCTCACATGAATGACGAGGTTAATACCAACATCGTAAACAGCGTCAATTTATAATCAACGACCGGAACTAACGATAGCGTAATAATGAGATTGTTTTGTGACGCTTTATCATAATTGCAAGCGAATTGTTTTAGTGTGTGAAAAAAATGTATGTGAAATTTGTAACGAAAAAAAAATCCAATTTAACCCGAAAACTGAACCACAGGTTTAAATAGGAAACGAGTTAAACTAATAGAGGCTAACAGAGGACAAAGTAAGTGATGAGTAGCGAAACGGATGAATTCTGAAGTAGATTTACTCGCCGACACTTTCGGTAAATGAACGAAGAAGAGTAGGTTAGAGAGTGCATAGTTGAAATTGAATCGAAAGCACAATGAGATTGGCAAGCCAGTGATGATGAAAGCAACAATGTTTGGGCACACTGGAAAGAGCAGCATTGAACCTGAGCGCATGGGCGGTTATTTCTCCAGGATCTGTAAACCTATAGCCAACTTTTGAAAACAAGCAAAGTGCTGGTGGTGGGCGAATATTTATAGCAGGAAAATGAATAATGGGAAAATGTTTCGACATTCTCGGTCGAAAACATACATACACATGCGTCATGATCGCAGTTCGTTAGCTTTCTTAAGACGACCTGAGGAGTAACATAAGCAAGTTACGATAAGGAAGAGAATATAACGAGATGGATTTACCCACCACTGTGAACGTAACGTACTACTTGCTTTGAGCGGGTTACGCAACTAAGAGTAGAGTGCAAAACGGCATTACTACGCACCAAACGTGAGGATGGGCGGTGCAACGGTTGGTTCTTATTTACAACATCCAGTCGCCACCGCAATAGCCGCTGCCGCTCAACAACAACCAGGGCGAATCCAACAAATCAAACGTTCTCCATCGAAAGTAATACTGAATGCTTTATGAAGGACAGAAGCTCAGAGATCTGCTGTTGCTTCTGTACGAACAGGAAATAATAGCAAAATCAAAAAAGCGGAGTATGAATCACAAGCCTATAACTTTTCGGGTTTTTATACCACACTGAATACTGCGACACTAGAGACCTCATTCCCATTTTCTCCTACATCGAGTTTCTACTGGAAAAAATGCCTCAAACTGGAAAGTAAAACCTATTTCATCTATGATTAAACAAACTCTGCTAGAGCACATTTAAACAAGTCTGCTTTCTATTGTGGTCTTCACTCGAAAACAAATAGACGAAAGTATTAAAGTAACAGAAATATAATA